TCTCTTCTACTTCTGGAATCCTTGCTTAGTACTTAAATCCAAGTTTCATATTGTCATATTTATATTTAACTATCTATTTCACAATTCATTGTTCATATCTGTATTTTTTCCTCTTGATCTTTCCCTGGCTTGAGGACTTCTAATTGTTAGTATGGTTATTTAGTTATTTTCTTGAGTGTTTTCTTCAGTGGGGCATGTGGATGCTATCTTCTCTGAATGCAGGCTCCTCGAATACAGGAACTTTATATTGTTTACTTCTGTGTTCCTAGCACCTAAAACTGTGCCTGGTACATAACAAGCAATCAATATATGTTTGCTGTTTTTGTGGTATTAAATACTACATATTTGCATGTCTGTCTTTTACCCTAAGCATTTATGTTGTTGGTGGTAGTTGACCTCTTACACATCTGCAAATATTTTTTCTATCACGCTAAGAACTTAACATCTTGGCCACTGTAGAAATCTTGGTTCAAAGTCCTTTTTTTCTCTTTAATTTGTAGATTTTGTTCTACCATCTCCTACCTCCCACTACTATAGATGAGAAGTCTGATGCTAGGCTGATTCTTTTCCTTTTGTAACTTGTTCTTTCTCTCTGGCCTCTTCTAATCTTTTTACTATGTAGTAGGGATTTTACCCCCATCAATTGTACGTAGAAATCATGAACTGTTTCAAGCTTCAGATTGAAATTTTCTTTTTAACCATAGAAAATGTTCTTTCTTATTTTTGTAATTATTGCCTCTTCTTTATCTGTTCCTTTTTCCTGATTTTGGAATGCTTATTATTGGCATATTAAGTCTGTTGGCTTTGAATGCTAGTCTCTTATCTATTCTTCCTGATTTTCATGATTTTGCTTTTACTCTGTGTGAGAGATTTTTCATCTGCTTGTTCTTTCAGGTCAATAATGTATTTTCCCAACCATTCTTTCTTTTAGTTACCCTTAACCCATTGATTTTTTTTTTGAGACAGAGTCTCACTGTGTTGCCTAGGCTGGAGTGCAGTGGTACAATCTCAGCTCACTGCAACCTCTGCCTCCCAGGTTCAAGTGACTCTCCTGCCTCAGCCTCAGCCTCCCTAGTAGCTGGATCACAGGTGTGTACCACCATGCCTGGCTAATTTTTTGTATTTTCAGTAGAGATGGGGTTTTACCATGTTGGCCAGGCTGGTCTTGAACTCCTGACCTTAAGTGTTCCACCCATCTCAGCCTCCCAAAGTGTTGGGATTATAGGCATGAGCCACTGCACCCAGCCAACTCATTGATATTTAAAGTTTGAATACCATATTCTTAATGCCAAGAATTAATAAGTTTTTGTGTTTCCTTGTTTGCTTTTCTTATTTTAAAAATAAACTTGTGCTCTGTTTCCTCCAGCAGTCCTGTTTTATTAGGGACCATCTGCTTTAGTAGATCTGATTGGTCTGTCTCTCTCTGGTTGCTGGATCCTCTTAGGTACTAGCTTATTTCCATTTTCTATTTTCTGCTTAAGCTAGGTTAAGCCTTTCCATAGTTAGAGGCACAACAATTTGTACTCTGGCATTGGGTGTGAAGTCTCTGTGTTTCTAGGTACCCCTAAATGCAAGTGATCCTGTTCTTTTAGTTTCAGGGATGTGGAAGACATCTTCCTACACTTTTTCTAGTAGGATCCAACATTTTAACTCCCCCTGCCTACAAACCAAGATCACGTACACACATGCTATGGAGGCAGAGCCACCCCTTAATCAAGTGTCCACAGTCCCCTCAGGCCTAGTTCTTCCATGTTTTCACCCCAGGGCTCCCTGCTCTTGCTCCTCTAGCCCCCTTCAGACCTGGACATCCCCACAGAGTCTATAGCCTTCAACAGTCCTCAGGTTCCTCCAGCTCACTTACCCTAGACAGCTGAAGGCTGGGGGAAGGAAGAGTAGCAGAGATCAGAGATGCAAAATCCTTACCCCTTTCTTTATGGTTGTTTGTTTGTTTGTTTGTTTGTTTTAGATGGGATCTCACCATGTCATCCAGGCTGGAGTGCAGTGGTGTGATCTCAGCTCCGCTGCAGCCTCAACCTCCCTGGGCTCAGGCGATCCTCCCACCTCAGGCTCCTGAGTAGCTGGGACTACAGTGCACACCATAACACCCGGCTAATTTTTTGTACTTTTTTTAGAGAAGGGGTTTTGCTATGTTTCTTAATCTGATCTTGAACTCCTGGGCTCAAGCAGTCTGCCTACCTTGGCTTCCCAAAGTGTTAGGATTACAGATATGGGCCACCGTGCCCAGCCTTCTTTAAGTTTTGATAAACAATAGCCTATATTTTTGCAACTGCTTTACACTAAACCCAGTGTGAATAAGGTTATGTGAATTAATGTGTAAGAAAATATTGGAATCTTAGAATTGGAAATAACATGGTTGGCCGGGCACCGTGGCTCACGCCTGTAATCCCAACACTTTGGGAGGCCGAGGCAGGCAGATCACCTGAGGTCAGGAGTTCGAGACCAGCCTGGCCAACATGGTGAAACCTTGCCTCTACTAAAAATACAAAAATTAGCCAGACGTGGTGGCAGGCATCTGTACTCCCAGCTACTTGGGAGGCTGAGGCAGAATTGCTTGAACCTGGGAGGGAGAGGTTGCAGTGAGCCGAGATCACACCACTACACTCCAGCTTGGGCAAAGAGCCACACTCTGTCTGGAAAAAAAAAAAAAAAAAAAAAAAAAAAAAAAAAAAAAAAAAAAA